ATACTTCCCCACACAAGCCCTCAACTTTGCCTTCAAAGACAAGTACAAGAAGATCTTCCTTGGAGGAGTGGACCAGAAGACCCAGTTCTGGCGTTACTTTGCTGGTAATCTGGCCTCTGGCGGTGCCGCCGGTGCCACCTCTTTGTGCTTTGTCTACCCTCTTGACTTCGCCAGAACAAGGCTTGCTGCTGATATCGGTAAAGGCACAGCGGAGAGAGAGTTCAGTGGTCTTGGGAACTGCCTTACCAAGATCTTCAAGTCTGATGGTATTAAGGGTCTCTACCTTGGCTTCAATGTGTCCGTCCAGGGCATTATTATCTACAGAGCTGCTTACTTCGGTGTCTATGATACAGCAAAAGGTAAGTGGCTATTGGGGAACATCTGACATGGATCAAATAAATTGCTTGTTAAATACAACTCGGTGACATGGTCGAACTCTATCACTCAGGTATGCTGCCAGACCCCAAGAACACACACATTGTCATTAGCTGGATGATTGCCCAGACTGTCACAGCTGCAGCCGGTATCATTTCATATCCTTTCGACACCGTCAGACGTCGTATGATGATGCAGTCAGGACGCAAAGGAGGTAAGCCGAAGCATCATGCAATTTTGGCACAAACTATTGTTCCATGCATTTTGTGATCAGTCTAACGGATCATTTTCTTTCCAAAAGCTGACATTATGTACACGGGCACAATCGACTGTTGGAAAAAGATCACTAAGGATGAGGGTGGCAAAGCTTTCTTCAAGGGTGCCTGGTCCAATGTGCTCAGAGGCATGGGCGGCGCCTTTGTGCTGGTTCTGTATGACGAGATCAAGAAGTACACATAAACATTCTCCATCCATCACGTCGATCCCATCAAAGGAACCCCTGAGCACTGTGTATGTCTTAATTGTGTAGAGTGTTAACAAACAGGGTGAAGTGGGGGAAGTGTACTTAGCCATGCTGGCCCAGGGGTGGATTTTAATCATGTGATCTTAGGTGGTCACATCACCCTCCACCTCTACACTTGTAAATATATTTAACTCTACCTACTGCCCCCCACTTTTAGATGACGTTCAGTCTGGTCAGATTGAAAGTTATCTTTTTTTCTCATTTATTTATTTGAATCAATCCCTCATAACTCTGAGAGTCTACATGTTCTACGGTGGCTCTTCTCTTCTGTAGCTAGCTGAACACTCTCAGACTGAAGCAAGTGGCTGTACACTGGAAAGCTGACTGTTCTTGTGGTTTATTCCACCTTATGTGTTCTTTTAATAAGAATAAAGCTGACAATACAACTCCTGATCGGTGCTTGTGGTTTCTTTTTTATAATTACATTATTTCTTACTGCCAGATTTTATGACAGCAAAAGTTGTCTTACAGCTGAGTAAAGGAAGTGGACTCATATTGGCTTTCATAGTTCAAATTGTTTCACGGATATTTTAAATGAACAGAATTAATGAATAAAAACTGTTCAAATTGTATCATTCCTATTTTAAACTAAATACAGAATATACAGTGTTTGGGGTCAGTAAGATGTTTTTAAGACATTTTGTAAAGAAATCAGTACTTTAATTCAGCAAGGATGGATTAAAGTCAATAGTGACAGTAAAGGCATTTATAATGTCACAACAAGATTTCAATATAAAAATAAATCGTGTTCTTTTGAACTTTCTATTTATGAAACAATCCTGATTTTTTTTTTATCACAGTTTCCACAAGAAGCACAACTCTTTTCAACATTAATAAGAAATGTTTCTTGAGAACCAAAAACAGCATATTATCATGTGACACTGAAGACTGCTAAAAATTTCAGCTTTCCCATCAAAGAGTTAATTTGCATTTTAAAATATATTAAAACAGAAAATAGCTATTTTAAATCATATAAATATGATTAATGAAGCCTTGGTGAGCATAGAATACATCTTTCATAAAAAAAAAAAAAAAAAAAAAAAAAAAAAAAAAACTGACCAACCCCAAATCTTTTTTTTACGTAAATATATAAATATTTAAATTTCATAATATAATATTATAATACAAGCGATTATAAAATTATATTACATATTTCATGGCTAATATATTATAAATTATAAATCACTTTAAAGGGGTCATATAATGGTACATGCACTTTTTCCAAGTTCATTGTACTGAAATGTGTGTTGGCAGTGCCTGTACACAACCATCATATAATGATAAAAATCCATCCAGTGTTTATTTTTTATCTCCTTATATGTTTTCCCGTCTCAAATCGAGCCGTTCGACCGCGTGACGTCACTAAATCGGACGCCCCTCCCACGATTATTCATTGACAGCAGCGTTTCAACACAGACCCGCCCTGAGCGAGCTGTCATCATAGTCCGCCATTGTTGATACACTGGAGCAGAATGGCGTCTAAGCGATTGTGGTGTTCTGTTCTTGGGTGTAATAAGGAACACAACAGTCATTTTGATGTTCCTCAATCCGAACCGCTGAAGACTCAGTGGCTGAGTTTTGTTTTCGAAGGGAATATCCCCCACGATCAACGTCATTGCGTTCATGTTTGCGCGAATCATTTCTCACCAGACTGCTTTATAAACAAGGGTCAGTGTAAAGCTGGTTTTGCTAAGAAGCTGCTCCTGAAAAAAAGAATCGGTACCAACTATTCGTGTTCCTGCTGCAGCTCCAGAAGAAGTGAGTGTAAAGTTTTATTAACCTTTAACGTTAGCCTATATTAATCTTTCCAAATGACTTTCACGCTTCACGATGAATGTGGCTAAGGTTTACACTCAGGGTACATTACTGCATGTTTTCTATGTACGACGTTCTCAATATAATTCATAATCCCACGTTTAAAATGAACAACGCGTTATGGTTTTTGTGTTACAAACTTTAGCAGTTCCGCATCACAATCCGTACACGATAACTCGCTTCCGGTGTGGTGCCGAATTCTGACCCCCGCCAAATTATTACCCCCCTAGTATGGTAGGTTTAGGATTAGTTGTGGGGGAGGGGTTAGGATTAGGGGTGGGGTTAGGATTAGGCAATCAGGTACTGATTTCAACGAGGGGGTAATAATTTGGCAGGGAGTCGAAATTCGGCACAACACCGGGCACGTAAAACGTCAGTGCGATCCTTACCGGATTAGACCAATAAACTTTTGATGTGTCATTTACTGGGGGAGGGTCTTATCTTCGTTTCTTAGCTTTGATTGGTTTATTTTTGGCCTATGAAATGCTCATAAATGGTGATTTGCTTGAGGCTGTGCTGGGTGGGGAACTATGTTACGCGTCACAAGATTCCGTACAGTCATTGTTGGGAGCGTAACATGAAACCGTACAACGGGGCATCATGATTGCCTCATTGTGCAGGGTGTCTTATAGTAGTTAGATTTCATTATGACACAATTTACTTCACATTTGACTCTTTGGTTGACTTTAAAGTCCTTACATCGCTGATCTGCAAAATATTGTTCATTACGAAAAATGTCGCGTTCAGTCACCGCAGGTCGTTTCCAAGACCTCGTGAACATAGTTTTTAAACCGCCGTTTAAAATGGGGTTTTATTAACATTATAACACACATTTTAGGTTAAAAATGTTCAACACCAATAACCATTACGTTTAACTTCAATACAATAGACCACATGACCAAAACTTCATTCATTTCATTTGCTGACTCTTTTCCCTCCTTCACCGGAGTCTACGCGAGATCCCTGCACACCGCCATTTTTAAATATCACTCGGGTGTCATTGTACTTTCCGCTGAAATGTCGTCTTCAAAGGGCGTGGACTTCGACAATGCGTGAAGAAGATCAAAGATGACAAAACACAGTTTCCAAAGGTATATATAACTTTATTTGACCTGGAAGGGTGACTGTTCGGATTCATGTTACGGAAGCGCCGCTGTACGGATTGTGATGCGGAACTGCTATACATATTATACATCAGTAAACACATAGCGTTCGTACATCACTACATTACTCTGCCAGTACATACAAAGATAGATCAAAGTGACATTACGTTAACCAACCATTCAGAAACGTCCTGTTCAGCCTTAATTGTCGAACTTCTTCAAGGCCGTCATCTTGTTCCGGGTCCGACTCCGGTTCAAATTCAAACTGATACGGTTGCACAGATGTGTCCTCAGAGACTCCCGCTGCCATTCTTTCTCCAAAATATGTTGTCAACTGTTGTCAAGGCAACACTCCACATGTGTTGTGTCAAAACGCCCCACAGAACCGAGTCATTATCATTTAAAGAAACACGCACATAATCGGTGTGCTGAACACAGCTGTTTTTGACCCTGTAAAATTAGTGTTTTCCTGCAATACTCATGAGAATGTTTAATTAAAGTAGCCTATATTACAAACTTTTAATTTAGACCCTAAAGAATCAAATTAACTTGTATGAAAAGGGCATTATATGACCCTTTTAAAAAGTATAAAAACATTACTTGATGTTGAATGCATATTAAATACTGATCTGTAAATAAATATATAATGTAATTTTGGTTTATAATACTAGTATAAATAGTAAAAGCCCAGTAAAGGCTAGTAACAGTAACCAGTTACAGTAATGCGAGTCAAACAACATAGCAGTGTCTTCCGCAACAATGACAACTGTGCCAGTCTCTGTGTTTGCATGATAACCTTGTTAGTCTGCTGTGTCAACAAGTGTCAGTCAGCCTTTTCAAAAGCATTTTAAGAGTGACAGGTGAATGCCTGGCATTGTTACACTGATTGTAACAGATGGAACACTGTCTGAGGATGTGTGGCACTTCATATCAGCATGCCAGCTATTCAAGTGTCATTCAGCTGGGTCAATAAACCACTTTTACTTTCCAAATAATGGAACAACACTGGATATTACCATAACTAATAAAGCATTTATTTCACACGAAATTTACAGTTTCCAACAGATGTGTCGTGTAATTAATTATTCTGATAACAGCAACATTGACTTTACATTTCTACACAGCGAGCTTATATCATTTTTTTTTTTGTCTGTAAAATATAGGAACTGGTTTACTTCTGAACGTCTCAGAAAATGCAATGTCACACTTTATTGTTCCCAAACAGTTTATATTGTCTCCAACAAAATCTAAAATGTAAATAAGCCACACATTTTCAAATAATGTCATTAAACATTTAGCTGTGTATATTATCTGACAAATATTTCATTTTTATATCACTCCATATCCAGACAAATAAATGTGAGCTCAAGCAGTTCGTCAAGAATGTTTCATGTTGTGACCTACAGTCATATCTTGTACTTACAGTTAGAGCAGAGCATGTAAGTGAAAGGGATTTTGAGGATCAGGAGGACCATGCTGGCCGTGGTGATGCCCTGTTGAGTTTAGCGGTTCCCGGTCTAGCTTTGTGAGGACTACTGACAGGTCTAGAAGTCTTCCCTGTGTTCATAGAAAGACAGGAGTTGCACTATTGTTAGAGCTGTTCATTAATTTTGCATTAAATGTTATGCACGCAGCTAATCAACATAACAACTGTTGTCTGTTTTCAAATACAGTGGCTATACTCTTGTTTATCATAAATAATGGGGAAAGACCTACCCAACAGTTAATAAAAAAATAAAATCAGATGGGACTTCAATTAAAAGTAAAGTCAGTTGCAATGGCAGATTTTAATTATCACTGAAACTAAACAAGTAAAAAAAAAAACTCATACAAGCGAACCACATCACAAATGGTACTTAAGGTCAAAAGGTTTTACTAGAATCAGTTAAAAAAAACTAAAAAAAATTTTTTTTTTTTTTTTTTATCTCAGAGGAGTTGGATGCAAACTGAATGCACTATTTTGAAGAAACAAAAAGTATATATGATATTATGAACAGCCGAAATAATTTGTTTATTATTTCTGGAATCTGCAACACTAAATATATGAGCTGAATATGAGCTGATGTAATGGTGATGACATGCAGACAACTGAACATGTTTCATTCAAAGTGCCTCATGCAAACTTCGGCTTAAGTTTGTGTGGTGTGTGTGTGCATGTACCAGATGTCTTGGTGGACTTGAGTTTGACCGGTGGAAGAGCTGTAACGCTTGTTCCCATGTATCGGCACTGCTGTTGATAATCAGCTAGCTGCCCATCTCGGGTCATACCAGGAGTGGGCTTCACAGATTCTAGACGCTTCAGGAATGCCTGAAAGCACAAATATTTAGGTTAGAAATTTAATTATCTTCCCTCTTCCGCTTGCTGGATTACAACATGAATTATTAACATGTATTATTATTAAAATGATGGCCAAGAATGCCAGTTATATAGATTGGCCAAAATCCTTACAGAAAAATTAATACACAATAAATAATTAATAATCTATTAATAATAGTTAATAATAAATAATGGATACAAATAATTGTTGAAAAAAATAACATAAGACACTAAATAATGATTTACATAGATTTTTCATTATATAAAACATTAAAACAAATTAAGGAATATATAAAACAAAAAACAACGATATTAACAGCATTAATAGTATAATAATACTTATTCATTCATTGTTTAACATAATTGATTTAATTGTTTTTTCTACACAACCATGTTAATGTAAATTAAATTAAAATTCCACAATTCACATAAAATCAAATTATTTAATCATTACTAATGAATACTACCATGCCGTAAAAAAAGGTTTACAATATACTACAATAATAATAATAAAAAAATTGTGCACAAATTTTCACAAAAATACCACAATGGCCCTTAAAAACATATTTCTTTTTATTTGGGATGAAATATGACAGATGAAAATTCTCTTGACAGATTTTGTGTGATTCACCCTAAAGCTAAAAGCTTTCAGACATCCATGAACTCACTAACTTGCCTCAAACAAGATGACCAAGAGAGTAGCGTGACTGACTACAACTATGAACTCTGAAAAGCCACAGTGAACCATTGAGAATAAAAATAACCTGTGCACAAGGATCAGAATGTCACAGGCTGTTATGCCTCCGTATGTTGGTACAAACACCCCTTTGGAAACCACTCAGTAAGCAAAGCCCATGAAAAGAGCTGGGACTGGAAATAGAGTAAAGGTGAAGATAGAGGTCAGCTCGCTCAGAGCTCTTAAAGAAAGAGAGTGACTGTCTTGTGTTCCAGCATTAGTTGCTAGGTAGTAAAATGCTAACAAGACCTGGAGGAACATGAAGTCTGAGTCACAGCTCATAGTCCCTGCTTCTATTGATTAAGAAGTGTTTTATTTTCATTTTCCTGTTTTCTGCAATAAAAACTGACAAAGAGGATCTGACTCTGTAAGGCTCTGTGAGGATGACCAAAAGAGAAAGAGAGCGCGAGAGAATATGCATACGTAACAGTAAACAAGCAAGGTTAAGAGAGCACAAAACACAAACACACATTATGTTGCTTCCAAAAGCAAGGAATTTGTAATTATAATGTAATTTGAAGAGTTGCATAATACTCTCTCTCTCTCACTGAAGCTTAGATGAGGAAAGCACGTGGGTGAATTCAGTATAATGTCAAGACCAGCATGTGCGCAAAACTGCTTCCACCTGTCTCTTCTCGTCTCAGTCAGGCGGTCACTGACTCTCTGCTTTCACTGCCTGTGGCTGACAGCGCCACCTAACCCATGCGCTTTCACAGAACACTTAAATTAACACTCACACAGAACACCATTACATTAATGAATAATATCACCAAAGAACATCTGGTGATACATACTGGGGCATCTGAGTACAAGAGCACAGTAAATGACAGAATCGAAACACATCGTCTGGGGTTAGGAAGATTTCTTATATTTTTGAAAGAAATGTCTTATGCTCACCAAGGCTGCATTTATTTGATCAAAAATACAGCAAAATACAATTCAAAATGGCCATTTTCTATTTTTATATATTTTAAAATGTAATTTATTCTTGTGATGGCAAAGCTGAATTTTCAGCATCATTACTCCAGTCTTCAGTGTCACATGATTCCTCAGAAATCATTCTAATATGCTGATTTGGCGCTCAAGAAACATTTATTATTATTTTTATCAATGTTGAAAACAGTTGTGCTGTTTAATATGTTTTTGTGGAAACCATGGTACAGCATTCATTGATAAATAGAAATTTCAAAAGAACTGCATTTGTATTTTTTTGTAACATGTCAATCTCTACGGTCACTTCTGATCAAATTAATGCATCCTTGCTAAATAGGATTTTAAAAGAAATTATTTTCTTTAAAAAAAAAAATACTGACCCTAAACTTTTGAACGGTACATGCATATGCTCCTCATGTGTACACCTAAACACACAATTTCTTCCTTGACTGAGGCCAACAATTAATGAAAGCTTCTCTCTTATAATAGGAGTTGCTCTCAGTGTGATTCAAATTCAAATCTAATCTAATGTTGAACGGGAGTTCACTGCATACCTAAAAAGATAGGGAATAACTCCCTCTAGTGGAATGAGAGAAAATATTTTCTTGTGAAGACTCTGAACTGACCAGGTTTTCCCTCTGGATTCGCTCTTGCTCTCGTTGTCTGTTGAGGGTGCTGTGGTAAAGGCGTATAGCTGGTGCACTGCTCCTCCGACTGCTGGTTTTGGAGCACGCGGAGCTGCCGCTGCGCGAACTAGCAGTGGAATGGGATAGTTCACGTAAGAGCCGCTGATTCTCCCGGTCGATCTCTCGTACCTCTTCATTTGAGAAGGAATAGTTCTTACGAATGCTGCCAACACTGCCAGAGCTGGAGACCACAAGTACTCTGTCAAATTGTTTCTCTGCTTTTAAAAACACTGCAAGGGAGACAGACAGACAGACAGAGATTCTTGAGAAACAGCCACAACAACAACAAAAACCATCTCGATTCATTGCACAAACCTGATCCGTTCTCTCCTTCAGAACTTATACTGCCCTGACCGTCCGAATCATCATTCACAACCATCTCCTCAGCAACTCTGGGCTGCTGTTGTTGAGCATCTGCTGCCAAGTGTTCAGAGGGCAGAACAACATCAATGGACTGGGAAGGACTAACATTTGGTGTCGAGAGAGGGGTAACATCAGTGACTGTGTCATCAGATTCTGCCACTTCTTTGTGTCGCTCTTTCTGGTTAGCTGAACCTACCCGATGATGTTTCTGCGAGCGAATTGAGCTTTTCTCGTCACTGCTGTGTGAGGACTCCGGGTCGGATGATGACGAGAGGCTGCGGCTCAGCTTGTGGAATTTACCAGCAGATTTTTTAGGTGTTCCATGGGACAATCTCTTATGTTTTGTTGATCTCACATCGTCCTCACTTTCATCGTCACTACGATGATATCCATCATCATCATCACGGTTAGCATTACCATTGGATTTCCTGGGTTTAAAAACAGCATGCTTCTCATCCAGCTCTCTTTCCTCATCAGACGAGTATGAATGCACACTAGATCGGCTGTTGTTCATAGTCCCTGTGCTCGTGGCACTTGGGAGTGTTGAGGAGCCTTTGAGAAGTACATCACTACTTTGTTGCTCTCTTTCATTTTCTGTCTCTTTACTCCGTCCCAGTCTGCCCTGCTGGTTTGAACCATTCTCCAATCTGGCTTTATCTTTACTGTTCCTCCCACTTTGAACTTCACTCCCTATCTGATCCATTGAAACATGGGTCTCTTTTCCTGTTCTCTCATCATGTCGTTCTGAGGCCTTCTGTTTATTGAGCCGCCCATTCTCAGAAGCATTAAGTCCATTAGCTTCACAGTCACTGTCAAAGAACGAGTGGTCAACTTCTCCCTCTAACTCTTTGGGGCTGTACATGTCTGTAGTGTGTCTTCCAAATGTGCCCTCAGTAAGTGGAACCTGGATGAAAAAGGAAAAAGCAAAACATTTTTTTATATACCAGCAACTGTTATTAGGCTTAACATGTGGAAAAAATTAGTTGTCTGAACTATTTCAATGTTTTCTAGAGTAGTGGTTCTCAAACCAGGGGGGCAGGGCCTACTACAGGGCCTCAGCAAACTAACAAGGGGGCCACATACGGTAACTTAAAATGATTTAAAATAAGAAAAAAAAAACAATCATTAAAAATTAAGCCTAAAAAATACAATATTTCTTACTTCAATGCACCCCCTCAACAACTACGGTTGTAGAACGGTAGAAGGGTTCCTACTTCCTAGAAAAAATGCATATAGATTCTACGTAATTATTTCTTTTTTTTTTCTAGTTATGATTTTAAAGATTTTACAACATTTTATTAGGTAGAAATTTAGTAAAAACGTATTTAAAAAATAGATTTTATCCTTAATCCTTGTCAATGTAATGACAAACAAGAAAAGGCACAGTGTCTTCAAATATTATCGTGGAAAATGTAGAGAACCACTGTTTTAGAGATTGCTCTTTTTTTAATGAGCGCTAAAATATAGATTGATGCAAAACCGACATACTATATAGTTAGTTAACTATTGTTTTGTTTCAGTTTGTTGAAATATTTGTTATTGTCTAATGATTTAAGTAAATCATTAATCAACAATTACCACAATCACCTGGGGCCCGTTTCAATAAGGAGGTTCGGTCCCACTTTATATTAAGTGGCTTTAAGTACTATGTACTTACATCGAAAAATAAGTACAATGTACTTATTGTGTTCAGATTGTATTGTAAAATACTTTTGCTGCTATTTAGATGTGATACTGGTAAGGTTAGGGTCAGGTGGGTGGTATGGGTAGGTTTAAGGGTAGGTTAAGGTGTAAGAGAAGGGTCAACTGTGTAATTACAAATGTAATTACATAAATGAATTACAGCTGTAATTACATGCAGGTATTTTCAAAATATAAGTACAATGTAAAAACATGTATGTACACAATAAGTCCATTGTATCAAATGAATTAATTTCAATGTAAGTACACAGTACTTAAAGCCACTTAATATAAAGTGGGACCGGAGGTTCAACCAACTCTGAGTTAAAACTTGAACTCTGAGTTGACTTACCCTGAGATGGGAAACTCTGGGTTTTCGGTTACAGAACAGCTGAAATTAGTAAGTTCAATCAACTCTAAGTTGACTGACAAAGCGCGTGCACCACAACTATAAAAAGCCATTATCAATGGAGCGCAGATATTATGAGTCACCATGGTAACAGCGCCAGACAAAAAGAGGTCTGTATATTTCTCACCAGCAGTACGCAAAAAAAATTTTTTTAAGCAACACGGCAGCAGCGGCGATCGAGAGTTAGTTTGGGAGAAAATAGTTGCTCGAGTCAATGCGTAAGTTTACATTTTAATTACTGTTATACAGTGTTGGGTGTAATTACCAAGTAATCTAAATACTGTAAATTAGTTAAAGGGATTACTCTTAATTCTGCTGTAATATTAAGTAAAATATGATGTCATTGCATTAAATACTGCATAGACTATAGAACAATTCTATAAAACAATAGTGGATTTAACATAACATTTTTAAAAGGTATATTTTTAATGTAACCTTCTCTCTCTACACACTTTGGTCAATTCAAGAATAATTCATGCAATTGTATATTGTTAATTTGAAAGCATTAAAAGTGCAGTTTATTCTCTCTTTTTGTATTGTTCAAGTGGTTGAGGTTGATATAGGTTTTAGAAAGTAATTAGTAATAAGTAGACCAATACTTTCTGGAGATAGTAATTATTACATTAATCTAATTACACTGTTGAAGATGTCATTTGTAGTTCGTAATTAATAACTATTTTAGAGTAACTTACCCAACTGTTATAATATCAGAGGTGAAACTGGAATAACATTATGTTATTCAACCTAATTTTAATTTTCATGTAGGTGCAATCCTGCAGGCATTAAAAGAACATGGCAGCAGCTGAAAATTACATATAAAAACATAATTCAATCAGGTAAGGCTTGAGCATATCATGGATGTAGTCTACCTGACTTTACAAACATTTGACATATTAAATAACTAAATAGCATCCAGTGTTTAGCAGTGCAGCAGCATTTTTTACATAGGTCTAATTAACACAATTAAATGTTCATTCTCATTTGACTTCTACTCAGCCAAGAGAAAGAAGGAAGAGGCTCACAAAGATGGAGATGGAGATGAAGATGCAGAGGAGATGGAGATGCAGAGGAGATGGAGATGAAGATGCAGGAGATGGAGATGAAGATGCAGAGGAGATGGAGATGCAGAGAAGATGGAGATGAAGATGCAGAGGAGATGGAGATGAAGATGCAGAGGAGATGGAGATGAAGATGCAGAGGAGATGGAGATGCAGAAGGAGATGGAGATGCAGAAGGAGATGGAGATGCAGAGGAGATGGAGATGAAGATGCAGAGGAGATGCAGATGCAGAAGGAGATGGAGATGGAGATGCAGAGGAGATGGAGATGAAGATGCAGAGGAGATGGAGATGAAGATGCAGAGGAGATGGAGATGAAGATGCAGAGGAGATGGAGATGCAGAGAAGATGGAGATGCAGAGAAGATGGAGATGAAGATGCAGAGGAGATGGAGATGGAGATGCAGAGGAGATGGAGATGAAGATGCAGAGGAGATGGAGATGAAGATGCAGAGGAGATGGAGATGAAGATGCAGAGGAGATGGAGATGCAGAGAAGATGGAGATGCAGAGAAGATGGAGATGAAGATGCAGAGGAGATGGAGATGGAGATGCAGAGGAGATGGAGATGAAGATGCAGGAGATGGAGATGAAGATGCAGAGGAGATGGAGATGCAGAAGGAGATGACCCTGAGCCTGAATGCTGGAAGGACAATCAGGCTGAGGGAATTCCTGGAGGGACTTCATCAGAGCCAGTCACTCCCGAAGATTCAAGTGCCTTCATAAAATGTATAAGAGGTCTACATATGTGCTATTTTTTATATAGCCTGTTTTTGATATTTCCATATATTTTACTTTGGGTTGGGTTTTTGGTTGCTCCCACCCGATTCTGATGGTAATATCTGTCTTTTGGAGCCTCCTGTCCCAACAGAACCCCAGGCAGTTGTAAGTAGCCTACTCAATACACCAGAAATTATGACAAATAGTATTATAAAATGTGCTCAATCAAATGCTCATCTTCACAGGACGATGGGGATGAAGAAACAGTTTCTGCTGCCACAGAGAGGCCTACTAGGAAATGTTAATATTATGTGTCTACACATCAAACAATCTACACATTCAAATTTCTTCACATTATTTATGTAGAGTAGCCTATAGAATCTAAGTTTATTTCTAGTATAAACGGATATTCTTATCTCTCCCCCTGTCCCCAGAGTGTGGAAGAACAGCAGGAGGAAGGTCCATCAACTTCTGGTGCACACATAAACACAGTTCAGTGATTTTCAGTGAATGCCACAGTTTAATTCTGTAGAAAGTGTTTAGAACTACATGATGTAACTCTAATCTACTGTATTTTCAGTTGCCAGTTAAGAAGTTATATAGACTTCATCTTATTTAAAAAATTGGGGGGGAAAAACAGCAATGAATAAATGTACCGACAGAATGAATGAGGTGTTTAAACACCGCTTCCTCTTTAAAAAAGGGGAGGAGACCGAAATAAACTCTGGGTTTACGGAAGTAAACCTGCTCCCGACCAGGTTAGGTTCACAGAGTAAGTTACCATGGTAACTGACTCTGAGAATAAGTTACCTCTCTTTCAGAAACGGGCTTGACTTACCCTGCTTTCTCAGGTTTGACTTACCTCCCATTCTGAAACAGAAAACCCAGAGTTTCCCTCATTTCAGGGTTAACATACTCAGAGTTTTCACTTAACCTCCTTTCTGAAACAGGCACCAGGAATACTTATATAGCTAATAATAATGACAACAACGGACAAAGACAATGATTACAAAGTGGAATGCTTCCGAAAATAATTACGGAAAAATATTTGATCATTTATCGGTACGTACACTCATATTAAGAGGACTAATAACCGAGTAGAAATGTGTCAATATCAAACCGATCATCGGTTTATCTCTAGTGCTTTCTAGCATTAATCAAAACATCAATACGCTTGAGACCTTGCAAAGCTGTTAAGGTAACGTTACCAGGAAAAAACTCAATTAACACTCTTAAAGCAGAGGTGCTCATAACACACACACACACACACACACAGGGGAAATGTTTCTATGACAAGAGAACCAAGCAGCAGTTGGTTTAGCAATGCTGCCACAGACATTCACGTTCAGCAGACTACGTTTAATGTGTAACGTTATGTTATTTTATAAACAAGACCATAAAATTGTGTACATATGCATGACTCGAGCACACCAAAGCAAACTCATACAGCTAATGCAGTTAGCAAGCAGTGCCTACCTTTTGACATTTATTACAACAAAAACATGCGGGACCGCGACACTGTCAGGCGAAGTCTCCAAACCACAGAGCTGACGTACTTCATTTTAATTCGCTTTAAATCTCCAAATGCTGTTCAGAAAGATAAAGGTTGAGGATAAGAGTTAAAACAGACTCTTTCAACTGTTCAGCTCGCTGCACAGATGAGTGTGTGGGCTCGATAGATACGGTAACTAAGTGACGTCATTTCCTTAAATATTTTGGCGCCACATCAGAAGAACGAGTTTGCGTTTAAAGGGATAGTTCACCCCAAAATGAACATTCTGACATTATTTTCTCACCTTCATATCGTTCCAACCCCGTAAGACTTTCGTTCTTCTTCGGAACACAAATGAAGATCTTTTTGATGAAATCTCTTTTTTTGATGTTTAGCTCTTTCTTTTGTGAAGAGCTTTCTGTCACTCCATTGGCAGCTATGAATTTTCGCTTATGTATACTCTGGCTAACACTTGCTGATATATGGCAATGCAAGCAGTTCATTTAATTAATCTAGGTTTTTTTTGTTTTTCTTCTTCATACGGAATCGTACGAAACTTGCCCTGCGTCTCAATGTCCATACTATCCATCAAACAGTATACTGTATGAGATCATAAAACATGAACATGATTCGAAAAGGTTAAATGGTCCTGAAAGAAATAGTCAGTCCGCGACTCCGCGTGCATTGGAAATTAATGGGAAAGGAATTTCATCAAGTGGAAATGTTTGGTATTGCGCCTAAACAAAATCTTACTGAAAGCTCATTTTTTGAGATATCGAACTCAAATTTGGAACACAACTTGTATAGATTTATGGCTTTGATTTCCTCGCAATTTTAGAGTAAAACTTGTTTTGAAAAATATATAGCCTATTTCATATAAAAATTGCAAATAGTATTAGGCCTCATAACAATAAACTAAAAATTCTATAACTTTAATAACATTTTTCACTTTAGCAATAATCTGTCAAGTGGCATCTTTAAAAAGATATCAAACTTAAAGGGATAGTTCAAATTTGTCACCATTTACTCACCCTCAAGTTGTTTTAAACCTGTATGAGTTTCTTTCTTGAACACAAAATAAGATATTTTGAAGAATGTTGGTAACCAGACAGTTGACGGTAGCCATTGACTTTCACAGTTAGGCAGAGCCGGCCGAGCCACTAAGCGACCGTTGCAATTGCAAAGGGCCCCGTGGCCAGCAGAGGGCCCCCTAGAGTCACTGCTAGCTAGTGGGGGGGGGGGGGATGGGGAATCGCACAACGAAAGTAACATAAAATAAATAAATAAAAAGAAATGGACCTACAGCGCTCTTTATCAGGCATCATGATAAGCACAGAGTTGTTATTTATTTAGTTCTGTATTATGGCAAATCAACCGGGAGCTCCCCGCGAAGGCGTCTTGATCCCGACTGCCCCTATGATGTCACTCGTTCTCACTTGGTCAGTCAGTTAGCGACTCCGACGAATCGACGATGTCTGACATCTTTCTGGCCAAGAAAAACGACAATAAAGAGCCTGGAAGAAGAGAAGAAGCAAGAAGATACGTAAGCCTGTAGGCTTAAAGGTTCTCTAAGCGATCCTGGGTGACGTCACTTCGTGTTGACGTTCGAACTATTGTCAAACAAAACGGAGGCTAGCTAGACCCTCCCTCCTCCTCATCCGCACACTAACCCCCCAAACCACACCCCCAAACCCTTCTTGTCGGTCATTGGCTGGAATAGTTTATTATGTTTCAGGGAGCAGGTCGCTGCAGTTTGCTTTTGTTGCTGTTTGTGGAGCCTGGGCTGTCTACAGAGATCGCGTTTCTTTACAGTGTGTTCAGGGGACAGGCAGCCAGCGGTTAGTGAGGAGATGTTTGCTGTATGTGCCAAAAAAATTTTTGCCCTAAAAAACGCGTGACATCGCTTAGAGCACCTTTAATTTTCCGATTTCTGTAATATGGATAATCTGCACTAAAAGTCTTATATTAACATTAGCCTGCATCGTGCTTGTATTAATTTTTTTACAGTTGTTTAACTTACATGCTAATAACATGCTGCATAAAATTGGTTTATTATTAGGCCTATACCATTTGCTGTGGTGTTACTGTTAAAGCATTTAACAGAACAATATAAACCCAGTTTGGATTCTACACTAAAGGGCTAACATTAGTTTACTCCTTATGTCTCCTTAGGAGCACTATTAAAGTAACGTTATATGCTGCCAGTAAGCAAAGCTCCAGCTGTTGGTGAGTATAAAGGGGCTGTAAAATGATAACCTTCTGCATTTTAAAAATTAAGTCTAACTTTATGTATAATTATTTTCTTTATTTGGATTGGATTTTAATAGTTATATTGAAATGTTACCTTATTCTTAATATTGTTACTATTGATCTTCTTTGTGGGGTTTTAGATGTTATTTTTAATTTTGTTTATTTGAAAAATCTATTTATTATTTTATATAATATTATATTTAAATGTTATTCTATTTGCTCTATTTAATTTAAATTTTATTTATATATATATATATATATATATATATATATATATATATATATATGTGCTGTAGTTTGTGACTCTTAAACTCTGGTGTCAATAAAAATGTATCTTTGTTCAGTGATAATCACTTTATCTGTCTTTTTATAATCAAGTTAATCAGTGTGTGTGTGTGTGTGTGTCTTGCACTGCCATTCAGCTCAGTGGTATCATAATTTTCCTGTTAGACATCATACATAGTATATACAGTATAATATAGTTATATAGTATGGTGTAGTTATAAGGTAGTCATTGCTTTTCTTTAGGCCTTAAAACGGTCAAAGGGGCCTCCAACCAAATTTTGCTTAGGGCCCCCAAAGGTCTAGGGCCGGCTCTGCAGTTAGGGAAACAAAACTATGGAAGTCAATGCCTACCATCAACTGTCATGAATGACTGAACAACATTATTAAATTAATATATCAATAAATTTAAAATAGAAAAGAAAATTAAGAGCAACAATTAAATGTAAGTCGAATTATATACTTTCATTAACTAATTTTCATTGTCCAAATTGTTTTTTTGGACTAAATCACATCTGTATGTATATGCATTAATTTATCCTACTTGTGATGTCAATGACAAATCAACCATCTCCACATTAACCAGCTGCATTATCTGTTTCATAATATTAATTAAGCTGTTAAACAATTAAGCTTGCATTTGTCTGGGATATTATAGTACGTGACAACTGTACATGTTTAATGATGCTCATTCTTAAAGTAGGGCATTGCGCTAAATTGTGGGCATAACATTCCCTCAAAGACCCTTTCATGTTTACTTGGCACAAGTGGCATGACAGATGATCCATCATCCTCACTCACACCATGCAAGGCCAGACTTGCAAGCCCACAATCCCTATCCAGATTGCCACCATTTGCCATTAGCTATAATAGATTTGGCAAAATATTTACACGTGTACTACATGACCAGGTGAAGGGCAGTGCCGAAGAACAGTGCCACACTGCAACAACGGGTTTACATTTATTAAGATTTTTTATTATGCAAGCTGTAATCTTTTACCATTTTAGTTTTGTTCAACCTCATTTGTGATGCAATTTATTGTAATTCTGCAGCAAAGAAAAGAGTGTTGACATAATTTGGAAAAGCAGCAGACAAATAATCATAAACTCGAAAGCATTAACCAGCCCCCATTATTTCTGAGAACAACCCAACAAAAATCTTTGTTGTAATTTGTCTCTGTCCAAAACCCACTTCGTTGGTAGTTTTTTTTTATTTATTTTTTTATTCTCAAATAAGATAAATATATATTTTTCGGAACACCACAATGTAAACAGTGGCATTATTAAATCTACTTATTAAAAGCAATGTCTCAAAGTATGCTGTGAATTGATGAACAAAGTGCCTACGTGCTGAACTGCACACAGCTTGTTCGCGAGCTGTGGGCGGATTGATACATAGTCACGTGACAATGATTGCCCATTCTTGATTCTGATTGGTCTGCATCAAAGAACCATGTCGTGTAAATAGCTTTTATACTTCTGCTTTTTATTGAAAATGCGATGCATGTGTGCTTGTTAGATTGCAGAACACTGATGTTTAGCAGCGGAATAGCTGTCACGCCTAACACAACTTTTATAGCCTGCACGTACGGCATTATTCTTTGTTGAATTATCCAGACAACAGCTATGTTTTTGCTTGAGACAGAGTCGGTAAGTCAATGTAATTCAAATACTATTATGAGTTTAAAAGGAAAGCGCTATGTTTAACCAAGTCGCTAAAAATGCTATCTCGGAGATTTAAGAAACCATAACGAAAGCTATATTTGTCAAAATCATTTCATAACGCGCTTTAAGAAAATCATAAGTATTTTGGTTGAAATTCATTAATCTCCATTCAGCAGGACTGTCCGAGTAATCTTTTTGAAAGCGGGTTTGCTGTGAATGGTTTGAATGGTCCGGGGCACGGACAGTCTCCTGCGCATCTTGCGGCATGCGGAGGTCAGGCTTTCTGCTTGCTTTGGCTCCTGCAAACCGGTGCTGATGCAAACCAGCAGGTACGTCGCCCTAAAACGTATTAACACACCTTAACCCAGCGGTAGTTGGGTTCCTGCTGTTTATCATGCCAATCTTCTCTGTGTTTTTAAGGACGCAAGTGGAGAAACACCCATTCATAAAGCAGCCAGAGCGGGCAGTTTGGAGTGCATCAGTGTGCTGATGGCGAGTGATGCACATTTCGAGTAAGTGCATGTGGCAGGTTGGATTGTTCCTCCTCCTAGCGTTTGTTTGACAGAGAGAAAGATAACCACAGTAGCCTATTTTTATATTTCAAATTAGTATTATAATGTCGTTCTTGCAATGCGGTAATGTCTCTATACTATAGTCATATAATGGTTGGCCATCAGTTGACCTATCACAATGAGCTTATAGAGTACGTGAACATAGGAGTGAACTTCAAATAACTGAACCTTTTTATTTTTGTTAACGTTTGTTTACGGCCGCTTTATGGTATTAGGGTTGTCTCACTTTTACATATTTCATTCTGGTAAAAAGGTATACCACAATTTGCAATAAAAAAAAAAACATTTCAAAGAAAAGACATTGGAAAATGTTGTAGCCTATAGTATTTCTTTTATAGACTGCTATACCGTTCATAAAGTTTGGGTTTACCGTTCATAAGTTTTATTTATGATTTTGAAAGAAGTCTCTTATGATTACCAAGAATTTATTTGATTAAAAAGAAATCTTAATATTGTGATATATAACAATTTAAATGTTTTATTTGAAAATATTTTTTAATTCCTGTGATAGCAGAGCTAAATTACTTCAGTCTGTCAGTGTTGAAAACAGTTGTGCTAGTTAGTATTTTTGTGGAAACATTTCAGATTATTTGATGAATATAAATGTTCAAAAGAGCAGCATTTATTTAAAATAGATTTTTTAAACCGTGTAAGTCACTTTTGATCAATTCAATGCATCCTTGCTGGATAAAAATAAAAAAAGCGAACTCTCAATTCCTCACTGAAAAATGACTAACTTTTCTTTTCCTGTTGCTACCATTGTTTAAATAACCAAGCCACATGTCCAGTTAATAGTTTATGTGCTTGAGATTGTCCCAGTGCATATCTTACAAGTCTGGAACACCATATATTATAGACATACACATGCATATTGATTTTAAGAAGTTCAAAAAAGCTTCAACATAACAGGAATGCTCCATTATTTACCTGTTAATGCAAACATCATCCTCAACAACAGTATTCTTATGAATATGAACACTTTTCCAATTATATTTTCCCCCCCCCTTCTGTTCAGCATTTGTAACAAAGCTGGACAGACCGCTGAAGAAATTGCATGGTCTTGTGGGTTCGAGGAATGCGGGAGGTTTTTAAACATGCATCGCAGAACTCAGGACCTGAAGAACACTTCATCATCAACTCTCGCTGAACGCCATGTGCTGAGCAGCACTCTCGCGGGACAGAAGAGAGGCCGCGAAGGCTCCAGTGCTCAAGACGGGAAGAAAGCACGGGACTGGTGATCAATGCTCTCACAAAGAGAGAGAATTTCAAGTGATATATAGGCTGTTTAGCCATTACCGGAGTGAATGGTAAACGGATGATGTTTCAGTACGCCCTCAGAGTCTGAACTACCTGTGGACATTTGGTATTGAGCTTACTGCAGCCTCAACAGTGAAGATAAATTGATCCTGTTCTGGGGTCAGTGATTTGGGGTCTTAAGTTCAAGCGGAATCACTGACACTGTAGATCTGCTCAGAGTGGAGTGTGCTTCACACACATATACCTGCCAACACAGAGCAGATGGCAATCAAGGCAAAAGCAGAGCATTTTCTTTAAAGGTGGAGATTGAAACTTCTGGGGTTCTCACTGGAAAAGGTGCAACATTTAACTTGGATCACATACGTCTTGTGAATCAATCATATAAACCCTTTCTGGGTTTTATGACATTCAGTTGGGGACTGTAGAAATAAGTGGATATAAATGAGCAAAACAGAAGGCAACTGACTTGCTGCCAAGCTTGGCTAATCAAGATATTCTTCATAAGGCTAGATTAGTTGTTAAAGTATGTGACATTTTTGGTCCATATAAACAACTAAGATAAAACATGACTTAATGTTGTGGCAAATGTTAAGGGAATATGTCACATGCTTTGACAAAAACAGTTTTTGAAATGTTTTAGGAGTTTATTCCATGATCTGAAAGAGATATTAGCTGCTGTTCAAGACGGTTCAAAGATATCTTGTGAATTTGATGTATGAGGAACTCAAACTCTGGTAGTTTGAAGGATATTACAATATGTCATACGTTTTTTTTTTTTTTACAATCGCAAGTACCCAATTCTCAAAACTCTTCATACAGTGAGTATGACAGCAGTCTATGTGGGCTAAACTGTTGATAATTTTCCATTGCTTTGGCACAAAATTCAATGACTACTACTTTCAAATTACTTTTTTCTCTCACTTAGACACAAGCACAGCCAAAACCCCGTACCTACGGGACAATTTGCACGTTTAAATACTTTTTTCAAAACCTAACATAATGCAAAACTGAATAAGGTATTACATTTTACTACAGTTATACCATATTGAAATATATTACAAATGTAAAAAAAAAATATATTATTGCAATTTAATATTAATTTGAATTAACAATATTAACATAAATTAATTAAATATTTCAAAACAATTAGGTCTAGCTGAACATCTACAAAGGTGTTAGACTTTGTTACCATTTATAGAAAAGGGGGAAATAATTTTGTACTGAAATGAAAACATGGACCATGAAACGCAGTGAATTTTAAACAGTAGAGATATAATTATTGTTCTGTAAAGGAATGTTTAAAAGAAAACTAAAATGCTACCGTGACAAAGTGTGTTTGTTGGGTGAAACCTTTGCTAGTGTCATCGAAGACTGAGTTGATTTGAGGCATATATGAAGTGTTTTGGTATTAGTGCATTTTGGATGTGAAAGTAAATGCTGTGCCAAACTGGAAGTTGGTAAAGAAAACTGTTAAGAGTTTTGGCATTTGACAGTTTTCTATTTTTAAAAAAATGATCACCCATTTACAACCTGATTGTAAAATCACATGAGACTGTATCAATGTGATCTTTAGCGTGACTGAAAACGGATGTTAAAAAAGGCATTAACGTTTAGAACATTGTAAGGAGGACAATGGGTAATAAATGATAAATCACTTTTTACTGTGACATATTGCTTTGTACTCATTAAAAACAATGAGACTTCCTGTGAATCCATGGACTCGCAGGAGGAGTATGAAGGAATAAGTGTCATGCACGTGACTCAGATGGTCTTTGGTCTCTGGGGAAGGCAGAGGTTGTAATAGGCATTTTGATCCCAGAACTCTGGCCCCTTCCATCCACACCAGCCCTGAAGGAAACACACACATTAACAAATGACCTACTTTAAAAAATCACTGAGCTATCGATTGACAAATGATATAACTCATAATACACTAACGTGGGAGCCAACGTAAATAGGATATTAGGGGAAACTCTAGGTGCAGCTAAATCTGTCAGTTTCATCAGACACCATTTAAACAGTTGCTAATACATGAAACAAGTAAGTGATGTTTTAAACCACGTTACACTTTAAATCCCATCTGTGTCTGGATATAATGGAAGAAAGAACGAATTATTATGTATTAGGACAGGCCAGACAGATGTGATGTTGTCAAATGTACCTTGTCAGTGATGGTTTGCAAGTCCTCTCCACCAGTATAGTGAGGGTCCAGGATAAGAAAGCGTATTTGTCCAGAGTTCTCACTCCACGCTACGCCTAGAATAGTGTGTGCAAGTACCCCCCCACCTGGTGAGAAAGAATTTCCAAGCTTTAACATCTAAAAAAGTAAAAAAGCAAAACAGTAAATTGCATAGAAAAAAAAACAATGTTTTATTTCTTCACATTTTTTAAAGTAGTATCTAAAATGTATTTTTTTTCCTGTAAAGGCAAAGCTGAATTTTCTGCAGCCATTACTCACATGATCCTTCAGAAATCATTCTAATGCGGATTTGGTGCTCAAGAAACATTTCTTATTATACCAGATCAGAAGTTGATTATGATAATATAATTTTTTTGGGGAAAAACCTTGCTCCCATTCAATCACAAGTTGAAGGAAGGCGCTGAAGATCATTTTAACGCACCAATCATGACAGGAGTTCCTTCAGTCTGGAAGTGGTTGGCCAGCTCTCTGCCCTTGGTTGCCAACTCAGATCCCTGACTTTAACAGAAAGACAACCATTTTTACAAATCAAGCCATTCAGAAACTTTCATTGTTAATCTAGCATCAGCTTTAGTTAAGCTTAAGGCTGGAATACATCACACGACTTTTGCCTAGATTTTTGCCCCGATTTACAGTCTAGAAAAGTTGAAGCTAGTTACAGAAATTCAGAGCCAAACTTTGAGCAGTCGGGGTTAACCGATTTCACAGGAAATCACGTATTATACTATGGGCAATGAAGACTAAAATTTATTAACTTTATACTATGATTCCAACCAGTTGCAGGATATCAAACGTATTTATTATTATCTGCTGATTTTAGAACACATATTGTTGTCTTTTTTATATGTTTCTGCATTAGTTTTTGTTGAGTTTTAAAAGACTTGAAAAATCTGGTAATGTGATCCTCTGAAGTTCAGGTTTCACAGACAGGGCTTAGATTAAGCCAGTATTAGGCTTTAGTTCAGTTAGGACATTTAAGAAGCTTTTATAAACATGCCTTAGAAAAAAAACATTACTGGTGTGTATCTTGATTCAAAACAATGGCAGCGACATATTTTAAGATATGTCAGTGCAAGTTGCTTTCAGTTAAAACAGCTCAACATGCATTTTTGTCTGGGACTAGGCTTAAAGCTCCTGTAGGTAACTTTTGAAAACATGTATTTGCTAAAACTGTCATTATGTCCTGACAGTAGAATATGAGACAGATAATCTGTTTAAAAATCAAGCTCCTCTGGCTCCTCCCAGTGGTCCTATTGCCATTTGCAAGAAATACACGCTCCCGGTCAGAAACAACCAATCAGAGCCGAGAGGAGTGTCTTAGCAGTGTCAGTCACGCTTGTGTACGCGCTGATCACACCCCTCTCTTGCACAGCGCGAGCGCCGGAGCGCGAGCCGTCGTTCAAACCGGTTCAAACTTAAGATTGCCGACGTGCTGCAGCTGTGCTTATGACGGAGAAACAACCTAAACTGCCAATTCTCGAGTGACACCTGCTCATAAAACAAAGAGGTAAAAGGAAAAAGACTGATGACGATAATAACATGTAGATAAAATGTCACGCACTCTGCTAAGCAACAATTGAAACCTGCTAATTCACTGGCTTGTCATGTTGCTGAAATAATGTACTAGCACACCTTATCTAGCATTATATATCGCTAGAATAATTACTTACATACTGTAACGTTAGTTACCGTTACATTAACGTTATCTTACTAGCTATTTATAACTTATAGAAAGAGTGCAACGTTATAAAGTTACATGTAGGCTATTGGAAAATACATAATGATTTGAGGACCAAGTTTATAGTCAAAGTATGGGCAGGCCATAGTCAATGTAAAGCATATTATTGACGTTTAGTCTCTATTAGTGAATGTGCCATATAACTTTTTATCCGCCGTTATGGGTGGCCCTGTGTTTACTAGCCTGCGCGTTCACGACAGGCTCCGCTGTGGAGGACGAGCTGTGGAGGGAGGGCTGTAGCGCAGCAGAGAGCAAGGGGGTGGGACCTGTAAGTTGTGCTTGTTCAAATTTTCAGGCTAAATCAACGTTTTCTCAAAACTCCCTACTGCAGCTTTAAGCTTTGTCTGTGAAACAGGGGGCTAGACTAGTGTTGGTTTGGTCAGATTGACCAACTGTATATTATTCCAGCTTTTAACCAAAATGCATAGCTCAATTCTATAAAATTTTTCAGAATCCACCCCAACATAACCTGCCCATTATAAAGGAAAAATGCATAATCACCCTAAATAATAAACATACAAAACCTCTATCTACCTGACAAACAAGATCTTTGAGGTGACCCCCAGCAGTTGATTAAGGACAACCTGAACTTCAATGGAGCCGATCCACTGACGTGAACCCACAAAACGTGGCTCTTTATCCCCAACATCTACAAGAGCCTGACAAACCAACAAATGTACAGATTATAATGGCAGTTAATCCATATAACAAGACAGCATAACTTTAATACCATCCCATATAACAGGGGTTGTCAACTCTGGCCCTCGAGGTCCACTTTCCTGCAGAGTTTTGCTCCAACACAAATCAAACACACCTGAATAAGCTAATCAAGGTCTTCAGGATTACTAGAAAGTTACAGGCAGGTGCGTTTAATCGAGGTTGAAGATAAACTGCAGGAAATTCGAGGGCCAGAGTTGCCATATACAGTGACAGTTTTGTTTACCTGCTGGATCTGCGTGTGTGTGGGAACAGCTGTCTCCACATATCCTTGCTGCTGGAACCAGGAGCAGATAGTCTGAAGGGAACGATATGCACATCCCCAGCCATCATCATCCACACGATCCTGCATGTAGTGATGATAAATGTACACACCCTGTACCAGATACAGCTAGAGAGATAGAGAAGAAAAAGACAGTTTGATTTGTTAAACTTACTAGTATTGGTATCAAGAGATTTGACACTTTAAAAAGTGCTCATGAACATATCCAACCCCCGTTCATGCACAAATGAAAATCTTGCCATTATTTACCTACTTACCGGTAGTTACCAAAGTCACTACTCACAAGAGAAGTCCGAATTCAAAGTACTCATGAAAGACTAGGGAAAAAATACCCAGGGGACCTAGTAATTCTGGCAAGATTTTGAAGTGTGCATACACTGGACACTTTAATATCCCATGAGGCCATGGGAGAGGATTTGTGAATGGCAGTGAAGTAACGCAAGTGACGCTGGTAGGTCATGTGACAGTGATATGGCGAGTAATGTACATTCATACTACACACATTCATTCTATATAGAACATGTTTTTTAGCGATTGCAAATTACTTTGTCAAAGTAAGTACCTACTCATAGAGAGAATGCGATTTTGGATGCAGGCATTTTTCTTTGGTGTTTGTCATCAATCACATCAATCTGAGATGTCTAAAGTTCCCATTTTTAAAGTGAACGAACTAAAAGTGCCTTTTTAAAATAAGTGTAGAGGGAAGAATCAATTAAATTAAATTAAATTAAATTTTATTTGTATAGCGCTTTTCACAATACATATTGTTTCAAAGCAGCTTTACAGAAAGTGCACTGATTAACAGCT